AAATTTGTTTCTATTCATTAATTTCTATTCTGCTCTTAGGATAACATATTGTATAGAGCTATCTATTTTCGTTTTTTATAAAAGTTTAACAGTTTTAAAACGCTGAATAAGAGCAGCCCGAATTGCGGACTGCAGAATAGAATGTTATGGAACCATTAAAATTGGGCTGAAAAGTCTAATGTAAAAATATTCTTGTCCGACTATTTTTACATACGTGTGCGTCCAATATCGGTATAACAGATGAAAAATAACAGAAGATTAGTTCCAGGATAATATCAGAGAGGCGCTATACAATAATATGCGAATATATACACGCACCACACATACGCATACACAATACATTCATACTTAGATTATGATTTATGCCGATAATATCACTCTCATTTTTAGTTCCATCGAAATGATGGCGCTTTCGCGTCGGAGTTCGTCAGGCACTCCAGCATCCTCTTAAGAGCCGCGGCTGTACCGCTAACATTATTAATAGTTGGAACAATCAGTTCTCCGTGTGTATCTTACAAATCTAATATGCCGATAGCATTGATGCAAAATATTGCAACTCTAATTCATTGTAGTTTTTTTCGTCTCGATTCAATAGTGCGACTGTAACGAAGAGCATTTGAGAAGAAAAAGGTCGTACAAATGATTCTCCTGAAAGAAAGTTGTGGTTTTTGCAATTACGATACTTTCCATCGGTGCCGTCAAAGTGTGTGAAAATGAGTCGAGAAAATTGCCGGGCGTGCTGCTAGGCTTCAGTGGATTTCCTATAGACTTTATGTACACTGTAGGAAGAAACCGCTACAAAATAAATAGATCACACTGATGTGATCGCACTAGAATTGCTGTAAACCGTACGGATACGGTGCAGCTTACGGCGGTCAATCAATGGGCTCTCCCTTTTGAGCGATCCGTTCAAACGCGAGCAATCAACGACGCCTCTGTCTTTCATCGATGAAACAGGTGTTCAACAACCCGCGTTCGCTGCTCGCACACAACATATCACGTAACTAATAAATATAATCGGCTATGCACATGTAACTCCGTTAGCTTTCGTCGTACAAAGGAGTACCGTCCCCGCTGAAGGATATACTCCGCGGACTAGAATTCGTGCGCGGAGTGCCACACGGAGACTTGTACGATGGGGTTCGTGTAGAGGACGGTCTACTTCTTCCGGAGGGCGTTGTTCTGCCTATCAATTCGTCGTAATTACGCGGAATTTTCCTTGACTCATCATACCTAGGCGCATGGTGGAAAGAAACAAGGTGAGTTATTCTTGTGGTTGCGCAGTAGTCTAAAGGTAGTGGGGAGCGGACAGCCAATCATAGGGGGCCCATTTCATGAAAATTCAGTATGGCTGATGGCTGATGACATGCTTTATTAACGTATATAAAGTGTATATAGTGTTCCTCTTAAAAAAATATATAGTGTTCGTGCAGAGAGTTTTCTTAAATTTGGAAAAGACCGATGTGACCGTCGTGTAAGTAATAAATGAATATATAATATGAAGATTTGTTTAGAGTTTGGTGTAATATGTAATCACAACCAAAACAAAACAGTATTGTTTTACATTTAAAAAAATTGCCGTATATATTAAACCTATCAAAAAACCTGTCGTATATATTACCCTTTCAAAAAAAGCTGTCGTACATATTAAAACCTTTCAACAAGTAATGCTGTTGTGTATATTAAAACTATAAAAAATAATGATATCAGGAAATGACGCCAAGTGGGATTAAAGAACTATGAAAAAAAGTTGTACACTATTTCTATAAAACTCTTCTATAAAACTTTTGTACATAAAGCTGTCGTATATATTAAAAAAAAAATTCTAAAAAAATGCTGTCGTACATATATTATTATATTGCAT